GTAGTTTTCTTTCTTTGAAGTGTCTTTGTCTGGTTTCGGGATCAGGGTGATGTTGGCCTCATAGAATGAATTTGGAAGAGCTCCTTCTTTTTCTATTTCTTGAAATAGCTTGAAAAGTATTGGTATTAATTCTTCTTTGAACGTTTTGTAAAACTCCGCTGTATACCCATCTGGTCCAGGGCTTTTTTTGGTTGGTAGTCTTTTGATGGCTTCTTCTATTTCTTCCTTTGTTATTGGTCTGTTTAAATTGTGTGTGTCTTCCTGACTCAATCTGGGCAGCTCATATGACTTAAGAAATTTATCGATGTCTTCACTGTCTTCTATTTTATTAGAATATAGGGTTTCAAAATACTTTCTAATTATCTTCTGTATTTCTGTAGTGTCTGTTGTGATATTGCCTTTTTCATCCCGTATGTTAGTGATTTGAGTTTTCTCTCTTCTTCTCTTCGTTAGCATGGCTAAGGGTCTGTCTATCTTATTTATTTTTTCAAAGAACCAACTTTTAGTTTTATCAATTTTTTCAATGGTTTTTTTTGTTTCAATTTCGTTGATTTCCGCTCTGATTTTAATTATTTCTTGTCTTCTGCTATATTTGCTGTTGTTTTGCTCTTCCTTTTCTAGGGTTTTGAGATGTAGTGTGAGTTCGTTTATTTGTTGGTTTTTTCTTTTTTTGAGGAATGAACTCCAGGAAATGAATTTCCCTCTTAAAACTGCTTTCATTGTGTCCCATAGATTCCGGTATGTTGTGTCTGAATTGTCGTTTATCTCTAAGAATTTTTTGATTTCCTCCTTTATGTCTTCTGTAACCCATTGATCATTCAGTAACATATTGTTTATTTTCCATGTGATGCAGGATTTTTCCTTCCTTCTTTTTTCATTGATTTCCAGTTTCATTCCATTATGATCAGATATGGTGCATGGTATTATCTCCACTCCTTTATATTTACTAAGAGTTGCCCTATGGCATAATATATGATCTATCTTTGAGTACGATCCATGTGCTGCTGAGAAGAACGTGTATCCACTTGTTGATGGTTGATATATTCTATATATGTCGGTTAAGTCTAGGTTATTGATTGTGTCATTGAGTTCTATAGTTTCTTTATTCAGCTTTTGTCTGGAGGATCTAATGGCGAGAGCGGTGTGTTGAAGTCACCCATAATTATTGTGTTGTGGTCAATTTGACTTTTGAACTTGAGGAGAGTTTGTTTTATGAAAGTTGCTGCACCATTATTTGGTGCATATAAATTGATAATTGTTATGTCTTGTTGGTGAATAGTTCCTTTTAACAGGATATAGTGTCCTTCTTTATCCCTTTTGATTAACTTAGGTTTGAAGTTGAGTTTATTCGATATGAGTATGGCCACTCCTGCTTGCTTCCGAGGGCCATGTGAGTGGTATGATTTTTCCCAACCTTTCACCTTCAGCCTGTGTATGTCTTTTCCTATCATATGAGTCTCCTGAAGGCAGCATATTGTTGGATTTGTTTTTTTGATCCAGGTTACCAGCCTGTGTCTCTTGATTGGTGAGTTTAGTCCATTAACATTTAAGGTTACAATTGAAATATGATTTGTACTTCCAGTCATGTTTATTTATTTATTTATTTTAGTTTGGCTAGTTTTTACTTTTTGGTTGTTTTCCTCCGCCTTTACTGAGATACCTCCTGCTGTTGGTTTTGGGCACTGTTTTTCCATTCCTCTTCTTGTAGAATTTTGCCCAAAATGCTTTGCAGTGCTGGTTTTCTGGCTGCGAAATCTTTTAGCTTTTGTTTATCGTGAAAGATTTTAATTTCATTGTCAAATCTGAAGCTTAATTTTGCTGGATACAGTATTCTTGGTTGGAATCCATTATTTTTCAGCGTTTGAAATACATTGTTCCAGGATCTTCTCGCTTTCAAAGTCTGTGATGAAAAATCAGCCGTTAACCTAATTGGTTTACCCCTGAATGTAATCTGCCTCCTTTCCCTCGTAGCTTTTAATATTCTCTCCTTGTTCTGTATGTTGGCTATCTTCATAATTATATGTCTTGGAGTTGGCCTATTACAGTTTTGGATGTTTGGGGTCCTGTAGGCTTCCAGGATTTGGCAATCCATTCCATCTTTCATCTCTGGGAAGTTTTCTAGGATTATTTCATTCAATAGGTTGTCCATTCCTTTGGCTTGAATCTCTGTGCCTTCTTCTATCCCAATGACTCTCAAATTTGGTTTTTTGATGAAATCCCATATCTCTTGGATAGATTGCTCGTGAGATTTAAGCATCTTTTCAGTATTGACTATATTCTTTTCAAGTTGATAAACTTTGTCTTCATTATCTGATGTTCTGACTTCTACTTGATCTAGTCTATTTGTAATATTCTCGTTAGCATTTTTAATCTGGTTTATGGTTTCTTGCATTTCTAAAATCACTGTTTGGTTTTTTTTTAAGATCTCTATCTCCTGGTAAAGCTCGTTCTTTACAGTTTGTATTTGTTTGTTTAGTTGGTTTTCAAAATATACTTTCAATTCTTGGATTTGCTGTCTCATGTCTTCTCTAAAATTCCGTTCCATCTGAGTTAGGTATGCCTTGATTTCTTTCCCTGTCCATGTTTCTGATGCTTCTAGGTCCTCCTGTAGATTTAAGTTGTCCTGCATTATCTGTACTCCTTTTTTCCCTGTTTTTTTCATGTTGTTCACGTTACTTTCCAGCTCTATTTGACTGCTTTGTAACTGCCTTCTCCTATACATTTGTTTTGGCTTTGTTTATATCTGTTGTTTCTCCTTTGTGGTGGGAGATTATGCCTATAGATGTTGGGCTTTATTGTACTTTAGAGCTGATTCATTCAATTTATAAAGGGCTTCCGGATTTTGTATGCATATAGTGATTTGTTTTTTGTTCTTAGGACTTTATGTTGGGTGCTATGAAGGTATACGGGTTAGTATGTCTTGGCTACTTTAGAAGATTGCTCTACTGAAGGGGGATGCTAACCGTCAATTGGATCAGGGTGTTGGTAGTAGCTAGGTATTTAGGAGCACTATAGACAGCCTCGAAACATTCACCTGTTTGCATTTAGACAGTTACACGAAATGGAGGACGTAATGCTTGGGATGAAAGTTGGGGGGAAGGGAAAGGAAGGTGCTCTTGAAAAGTAAGAAGGAGGGGGAATTAGATAGCATAGAGGAGAATGGAAAGAACAATAAAACTTGGAAGGGGAGAGAAAGAGGGAAAAAGGGAGAGAAAAGATAAAATAAAATAAGAAATAAAATTAGGTCTTAGAGATCCATTTTCTTCTCTTCCCGTAGGCAAAGCTGTGCTCTCCAGGCTGAGATTTGCCCTCAATGTGTCAACAGCAATCCCTGTAAGGCGGCTCCTGGGAGTCTCTCAATCCTGTTGGTCCAGAGCCGTTTCACTTCTACGGCCCCTCCTCCCCTTCCTCCTGCCAGCCAGCCAGGTCCTGTGCACTGGAGGAGGTTCTCCAAGGATTTGGTTACACTTTCAGCACCTCTGGGTGCTCTATTTCCCTAATGACTGAGCACTCTCTCTGTCATTCATCTAAGCCCCAGTGCTGTGGAGCTGTGTTCTGGGAGTCAATAGTTTAATTTTTCCTGACCCCTTTGGTGGGCACACCTTCGGAGTCTGGCGGCTAAGACCATTGGTGTCGCCACTGGTGGTAATGGGAGTTGGGGGTCGAGGATCCCATCTGCTTCCCTCAGCCCCTACAATCACGACCACTCCGCTAGCAGTAGGAGGAGTTGGGGGTCTGGAGTGTCCTCTGTTTCCCTTCGCCCCTACTGTCACGCCCTCTCAGTTGGCGGTTGGGGGAGTTGGGGGTGGGGAGTCTTCTCTGCTTCCCTCCGCCCCTACAGTCACGCCCACGTCACTGGCAGTATTGGGAGTTGGGGGTCAGGAGTCCCTTGGCCCTTACAGTCACGCCCACGGAGAGATTTTGAAGTTTCCCGGTTGTTTGTATCTGATGTGGGTGGGAGTCACACACCTGCCAAAGTAGATTCCGCTGGGAAGGAATCTCTTTGGCCGAACTTTGGTGACTTCCCCTCTCTGCAATGGCGGGCCCCTGCCTCCTTGCTGGAGTGTCCGAAGGGAGGGGTGGAACTGGCTTGTCTCTGGTCTGACCCAATCTCTGGTTTTAGTTCCCAGTTCGCTATTTCATAAAGGCTTGGTTAGATTTCCTTCACGCTGTCTCAGGGGGGGAGCCGTTTGCCGGGTGGGCGGGGCCGTTCGCAGTGGGGGCGGGGCCGTTAGCAGAGCTGGGAGGGCACAGGCCGTCTGCCAGGCAGGGACCCTTCTGGAAGCGCAGGGCCGCTGGGGGCCGACTGCAGAGCCTGGGGTGGTGGCCGCGGGCGGGGTGCCAGCAGAGCCCGGAGGGCGGGGGCCCCGTTTGCCGGGTGGGCGGGGCGATAGCAGCGCCGGGAGGGCACAGGCCGTTTGCCAGGCCAGGCAGGGATCCTTCTTGCTGCGCGGGCCGCCGGGGCCGCCTGCAGAGCCGAGCCTGCGCTGGCCGGGGGCGGGGCCGCCCACGGAGCCGGGGGGGGGGGGGGGGGGGGCGTTTGCCGGGTGGGCGGGGCCGTTTGCCCGGCCAGGCGGGGACCCTTCTCTGCGCGCCGGCCGCCGGGGGCCGCTTGTAGAACCCGGTAGGCAGTGGCCTCGTGGCTAAGAGCCGGGTGGGCGGGGTGGCCGATCACCGAGCGAGCGGGGCTGCCAGGAGAGCCAGGATGGCGGGAGCTGTCTCCTGGGCCAGGCGTGGACCCTTCTCACTGCCCCGGGCCGCCGGTGGCCGCTTGCAGAGCCGGTTGGGCGGTGGCTGCAGGATTGGACCTCTGCGCCCGCGGCCGGCCAAGATTCACTTGTCTGGGGCCAACTGTCACCTCTAATATAACTTACTACTTCCTGGCAGGTCTCCTTTCAGCGGAATTTTGCTAGAAGTTCCTCAGTAGGTAGAATGTAGCTGTTTTAATGGGTGTTTCTGATCCGGTTAATGTGGAGATACTGAAAGTGCTGCTTCCTTGCCGGCCGCCATGTTGGATCTGCATCTAATAATCTTCAAAATGAAATAAATCAGAACAAGTCCAACAGCTCAATAGTTTTGAACACGGCCCCATACTCCAGTCTCCTCCTGAAACTTGCCATTTTCATTGCATTCATTTGCTCTGCTCTCACTGAATTCCAGCTTTTCTTTCCTGGAAACCACTGCTGTGCACTTCGGGGAGTTTATCCTCCTCTTTTCTCTACCTGAATACTTTTTCCTCTGGCTCCTCACATGCTCCCTTTCTGATTTTTCAGGAACATGATGAGATGTTCATTACACACAGAGGGTTTTGGTGTTTATTTTTTTAATGGTTTCCATTGTGACATTTACATGCATACATACAAAGTACTCCCTTCCTATTATCCTCTCTTACCTTCCCTCTCCCAGACTCTTAGCCCCCTTATTCTTTCTTAATAGTCCCCTTCTACTTTTTTACTGTCTTTTTCCCGCTTGATTTCACATGTGAGAGAAAACGTGATATTGCCTTTTTCACTTTATATCATGTTCTCCAGTTCCATCCATTTCCCAGCAGGAGACATGATTTAATTCTTCTTCATGGCTGAATAATACTCAATTGTAAATATATGCCAGATTTTCTTTATTCATTCATCTATTGATGGGGACCTGCCTGATTTCATATCTTAGTTATCGTGAACAGTGCCTCAATCAGCATGGGTGTGCAGGTATCACTTTTGTATGCTGATTTCATTTCCTTTGGATAGATGCCAGCAGTGAAATAACTGCATTATATGGCATCTCTATATTAGTTTTTGGAAGAACCTCTATATTTTTCTCTATAGAGTACTAATTTACATTCCCACCAAAAGTGAATAAGAATTCTTTTTTTCCACATGATCACCAACATTTATTATTTTTATGTTTATAATAACCATTGTAACTAGAATACTGTGTCATCTCTGTGGTTCTGACTTGCATTTCCTTGATGGCACATATTTTCTTTCAAGTTTGAAGTAATTGGTATCACATTTAAGAAACCATTGCCTATACAAAGTCTGTGAAAACATTCTCCAATATCTTCCAAGAGCTTTATTTTTTCCAACTTACATAAAGTAAATATTATTTTAAATTAATTTAATGAATTGCATGCAGTTAGAACCAAATTGTTAATTTAATGTAGAAATGCAGTTGATCACACACCATAATTTTATCCCTTCTTTGCAAAAATCTGGTGACTCTGTGTGCTTTTTGTTGCCAGAATCTCTAGTAAGTTCCATTAGCATATTTCTATTTTCTTAACCAATACCAAAAAATCTTAATATTTAATCTTAACATTAGAAATCTTGAAAAAATGATAATATATATTTTCCTTCAAGATTTCCTTGGATAGTCTGTCTTTTTGCATTTTTATGTAGGTGTTAACAACAATTTGCTTAAGGTAGTATGAGGATTTTGATTGAGATTGCATTGTCTATTGATCAATTTAGGAAAAAATAGTCATTATTAAGTAACATTGTTAAATGCACTAATTTTAATAGTTTACAATATTATATATATATATATATATATATATATATATATACACACACACACATTGTACTTTCTAATATTATCTAGTTTTATATATTCTATTTCTATTTTTGCCTCACGAAATCCCCTAGAATCTTCAGCACACTGAATAGGAATGGAGGTAACAGTGTATCCTTGTCTCATTCTCAATCACGGGACATATTTTCATAGTAATATTAATGAAGGCTATTTGTAGATATTTTATATCAGCCTTCAAATAAGGCTAGTCTTTATCTGAAAAGGTTCTCCTTTTCCTCTGCCAACAAGTAGAGCAGCCAAAAGCTACAATCCAACTTGCTATATATAAGTTAATTTTCATTTTGGCAAGAGTACATGTACCCTGGTTTTCTCCCCTCGTGTAGAGTACAGGCTTCCATATCTTTTTAAGAAGAGTTTATGTATTCACATGGCCTCTCACACTGGCAAATCCCGAAAAAAAATTCTGTCCCTGAAGTCTCATGAGTTCTAAATGTTAACTCTGTATTTCCAAGAAACCATCAAATCTCCTTAGTTTGGTGCCTGAGAAAATTTGCCATGCAGAGCCCAGATCTGCCATGGAAACAATCAACAAATGCCCCAAAGAGAAAAGCACAGGCTGCCAGCTCACCACGCCAAGGTCCTTAACTATGGGGAAACAAAATCCATGCTTTCCCTCTTGCTTCCATAATAATCCCATGTCTTTCAATAGGTGCTTATGACATCTTGTTTGTCTTTTTTTTTCCAGAACCATAGGCCTATCATAAGCCTTATTATTCTAAATGGAAGAATAAATATCATTTTGATACTAAACCTGTATCTTCATGAATCTATAATTATTTTTAAGGTCAATAAGTATCTTTGTTTACAATTTCCTCATCAACATTTATTCATTTTGTCATATTATCCATAGTGTGTTATTTCCAATTAGGAATAAAGAATTTATGATAAATTTATTTGGATCCAGTTTTTTTCTGAAGTATTACAAGATTAATGCATAAAATTTATTTTTACATCCTTTTATTTATATGCTATCAAGATATATATATTTAAAGTGGATTACTAGTTGACAATATATAGCTGAGCAATGCTCTTTTAGCCAGTCAATTAATCTCTGTTTTAACTGGTGTATTTACCATTGCCACTTAATAGGATATTCAGTCTATCTGGGATATTCAGTCTATCTACCTTCTTGATCTTCATGTTTTATTTGTCTCATTTGTTTTTTGTTTCTCCTGTGGACTGGGTCTTTGTTAAATAAGTATTTAAATTCTAATCTTGAGTTTTTAGTTATCTTTGGTTTTTATTTGGTCGTATGTTTAGTAGTTGTCCTATGGTTTGCAAAGTACAACTTTAACTTTTAATACTCTACACATAATAGTATAAATAATCATTTTTATATTTGTATTATATATTAATATGTTATACATAATAATCATTATATTATTAAAAAATACAAAATGGTGTAGTCTATAATATATGAAATAATAATCTATAAAATCATAATCTGTATTATGTCATTAATATGATTATTGATTATATATTATATATTATGCCATTGTTACTAGCAGATTACATTTATATCATATAATATGATTACTAAATAATCATATATATATTATTAAAATATTACATTAATAATATATAATAGTATATATTAATAAATGGTAATATATATTGGGTACATATATACGTATTATGTAATAGTATGTTATATTTTAAAACCATTGTAATACATAATATACAATGATTAGTACATTATTACATATTTCATTATGACATTATATTATTGAACATACAATATTATTTTATGTAATATTTTATATTCTGTCATATAATATGGTGAGGTCCTTATAATGATACATTTTTTTCTCCTCCCTTTTTTCTATATTTTAAATATATTTTATTTATAAATGCATATGAACTTCATATTATGAAGCGTGCAAGGAATACAGATTTTATTTAAAAAATGAAGAGTACAAAAGTAGCAGGTAAACAATGTATGTGTCCCCAGATCCAGAAGGCACAAGAATAAAGAGCACTGATGTCAAGAACAGGAGAAGATAGAGGTCCCAGCTCATGGAGAGAGAATTTGCCCTTCATTGGTCTTTTTACGCTACCTGGATATCTTCCTACATTGATGAGGACAGATCTTCTTCATTCTGTCTACTGACTCACAGGTAATCTCTTCTGGAGACACCCTCACAGGCACAAATGTAATGTTTAGCCATCTCGATGGGCAACTTTCAACCCAGTCAAGGTGACACATAAAATCATAAGACTATAACAGGACTATTTTTTACCTCAGAACTCCAGAAAAAAACAACTCTGCTAACACCGTGCAATTATACTTCCAGCCTCCAGAATTATAGGATAATAAGTTTCTGTTGTTTTAAGCCACCCATTTTGTGGAAGTTTGTTATGGCAGTCCTAGAAACCAATGTACTGCACAAATATTGAAATCCAAATTGATGCTAATAAATGAACACTGCAAAATTCTAACTTTAAAGCTATACATTTTAATACAATGGAAGGGAACACAGTCAGAGGGAGTGTGTACATGCATCATGAGTGTAGTTCAGTTGATAGCAGAAATGGCAAAATCCTTTCTGCACAGAATTGATTACCCGTTTAGACGTCTACAGAACTACTTGTTCAAAAGTAAGAGTACTACAACTATTTGTGTAGTGTTTTCTACTCTGTTAGTGTTATTTCAATTACGTCTTCTTGCCTCTTGTAGTTCCTATGAAATAGTTATTAACTACTTAATCTTTTATATGACTGCAAAGAATCAAGCAGTGAAATAAATTTGTATAGTCAATGCCTTTCATGAGCAGGAAATAGGGGAAAAAAACACTACCATCAATTTTATGACTGCTTTCATGTTTATTGTATATGCAAGAATATTTTCAGCACCGTACAAAATATACAACAGAAAGTCCAGTTTAAAAGATCATTACCATATTTGGCATTGTATAAATGAAGTTGTCCAAAATTCCAAAGTTATAGTTTGATGGTTCAACAAGCCTTTATCGCTATACTAAAATTCTGCTTGCAATGACGTTTAGCATAAAGAGTTAATACCTATGCACATAACCACTTAGAATATAAATAAAATATTGAGTTTGGAGTTATCACAATTGCAGGCTTTCTGTGTTTTGATAAACAGTTCCATTTTCCATTGTTAAAATGCACTTAATATGATCCAAATTCTTTTTTTAATGAAAATTTCAATGGAAGAATAAATAGGAAATTTGTTAGCTAAGAAATCAAACAATACTTGATAGATGCTTTTCATCTTTATTATTAGATGCACATCAATTTTATTTTCCTTCTATTTTTATAGAAATATGTAAGAATAGATTTGGTTCTGTATTGCAAATAATCAGTGTTACTTTGTGCATTTGTATGTTTTAGATTCAAATGGAATTAAATTTTTATTTGAATTTATATATTTAACATTTGCCATATTTGTAAATAACTTCAAA